TAAATAGGATATCAAGTCCGCATCTTGTACAGCAATTAACCACTAGGAAGAATGTATGCAATGTGTTAATTATTGAAACTGTCCTACCAATTTGGTTTAAAAAAAACAAACAACTTCTGAAAATTGCCAGTTCTGCTAATAACTCACTCCTCTTATGGACTATTGGACTATATTGGGTTAGTTTGCTGAATTAAAGTACCTACAGTCTTTGGACTGGCATCAAGTATGAAAAGGTCCTTTAAAGACGTCTCTAAATACAGCTTCTCTAACTCCAGTGAAACACCCATGTATGACAAAACAAAACAAAAAATGTGGGATATAAATAAAAGACCATTTTGTAGTGAAAAAAATATATGTATACACAAGACAGTTAGGAAAGATATACAGGTATTTTCTCTCAGTTCACTTATTTAGAAAAAAAAGTTTGTACTAATATTGTTTTAGACAAGATACCATGTCTGCATCTTGTCCTCTGAATAATTACTAAAAGACAAAATATGTGATGTATCAATTATTGTAACTGTCCTACTAACCTGTTTTGAAACTGTTTCATTGCTATTTTATTTTTTTCTCATTAAAATGAATAAAAAAAAGTAAGCAATAAAAAAACAAGCAATGTGACAGTTTATCTGAGAAATACAACCCACTCTCCATTTGACTCACAAATGCATCATTTATTCCTTCATTAATTCAGCATCTGGGAGGACAGTACAGAAAACAAAATAGCTTGTCTGCTTGGAGTGCATGCTGTGGGTAGGGAGACAAACAGTAAACAAGAGGATATATTCTGGTGTCCAATGGTACAGATGAAATAGACGCCATGCTAGTGGCCAGATGGTTGAAGTTTTTGCAAATTTACTTCTTCGTAGCTGTGAAAGGAATCCCATTTCTCCCCAGAAACAGCACTTGTATTTTGTGGCATTGGAATAAGCTCAGTGGTGTGTAGACTTTGGAATATCCCAACGTACAAGACATGGCTATAGGATCCGGGGAGATGGCTTAGTGGAATAAGCACATCCCTGGCAAGGGCAAGGTCTTGAGTTTGATCCTCAGTTCTGCCAAAAAAAAGACATGGCAGTGCAGTGTACCACACTATCCTTCGTTTTTTATAAGTGTACTGACTAGGTGTGTCTCTCGACACTTCCACTTCCTTTGCCTATTTCCTTAGACTAGGTCATGGATCTTGCATCCTGTTTGGTATTTTCTCTTGAAATAAATATGTTTCTTCTTTTTTTCCTTTCTTTCTTTCTTTTTTAACCAGAATAACTCAGGACTTTCTGCTTCCTTGGCTGTGCTGCTCAGCTATGACCTGGCCCCGTACTTTTATTTCTTCTGTGCTCACTTTTTGTATGATATACAAATTCCTTTTTCCCTAAACTGCC